ACTACGTTAGTGCTCCCCTTCCGATACTGCACTGAAAAGTCATAATGCTGTATTAGGAGAGCCCAGCGCACTAGCCTACCTGCAGGCTCACAGAGCCCCATCAGCTAGCTAAGCGCGCTGTGATCTCTTTGCACCACAAATTTTGTCCCATCAAGATAGACATCAAACTTTCCCAGTGCAAACACGATGGCGAGACATTCCCTCTCGGTCACGAAATAATTCCTTTCTGCTGGTATCAACGAGCAGCTGGCAAAGGCCAACGGCTGCAACACACCATCGTATTCCTGTAGGAGAACTGCTCCTAATCCCAGATCGCTTGCGTCAGTCTGGACAACAAACGGTCTGGTTAGGTTGGGGAGCTTGACCTGTGCCGTCTCCGCAATGGCGCTAGACAGATGGCAAAACGCCTCTTGCTGCTCAGGTCCCCATCGCCACTCAGCTGACTTACCCAAGAGCTTGGTCAAGGGTGCCTGCACTCGGGCACAGGACGGAATGAACGACCGGTAAAAATTGGCCATTCCAAGAAAGCGGCGCAGGCCGCATACGTCCTTGGGCGCAGGGAAATCGAGGATTGCTCGAAGTTTCTCCCAATCTGGCTCAATGGAGCCTTCGCCCAGCGTGAAGCCAAGTAACTGAACTCGGGTTTGTGCTAGTTGGGCCTTTGCGGGATTTAACGTAATCCCGGCAACTCTCACCCTCTCAAGCACATCCGCAATGTGTGCCAAGTGCTCTTCGAAGGTTCGTGAATAAATCACGATGTCGTCGAGGTAGCACATGCAGTAAGACCACTTTGCTTCCTCGAGGACGCGGTCCATGAGTCTCTGAAAAGTCACAGGAGCATTGCAAAGACCAAAGGGCATCCGAGTGAACTCAAATAACCCTCTGTGTGACGTGAACGCGGTCTTGCACTGGTCACGCTCATCCATCCGGACCTGTTGGTAATCTTTAGAGGCATCTAATGTAGTAAAATACCGCGCAGTGCCGAGGTTTCCTACGATGGAGCTAATCGTGGGGAGCGGATAGGCATCCTTACGAGTCACTCCGTTGAGACGGCGATAGTCTACGCACAGGCGATGACTGCCATCTTTCTTAGGCACCAACACAATTGGAGACGCCCAGGCGCTGGACGAACGGCGAACACTGCCAGCTGAGAGCATCTCATCCAGCAAGCCATCAATTACCTGCCTCTTGGCCTGGCTGACGGGCCTGGGGTTACACTTCAAAGAAAGCGCGTCGCCAGTTTCGATCGAATTGCTCACCAAATCGGTACAGCCTGGTTGATCGGTGAAGAGCTAATCGTGTTCGCGTAACAATGCCGACAGACGAGCCTCTGTGTATTATCCAATTGAGTCGCACAGGCGATCAAAGGATGTGGAGCCTCTTCGTGTCATGCCGCTCGATCCCGATGGGGATTTTGAGCCAACGAGTGCATAGCGCAGGGGCCTGGCCCCGAAGTTTGCACGTGACACGGTTTTGACGCTCCTACTGCACAGGCAACAGAAAGCGCCGGTGGGCTGATGAACGGCTTTAGCTCGGAAAAAGGTCCGTCGCGATAGCCTCCATTTGCAATGTCCACTACGATACCGGTTTTTAGGAGAAAGTCCCGACCAAGAATCACAGGAACACTGAGCCCTGGGAGATGAACGAAACGCGCGCGTCTCATTCAGCCTCCCCATCTGACAACCAACCTCACGGCGCCCGCCGACTGGGCCACGCCCTTCACGAGGGTGAATGTCATTCGGCTGTCCCACAAGCGCACCGAGCACTTCTGCAAGTGAGACAACACCTGTTCGCCAAACAACGAAGCGCTTGTGCCCGTGTCCAGCAATGCCGAGAATTTGCGACCGACAATGGTGACCGAAATAAACGGCGCGTGCGCACCGGCAAGACTGCTTGCCCAGTACACAGAGGGGAGAAGCAAGGATACAGCCGCTCGTGTCTTCACGAACGGCCCGCGCTCCCATTTCCCTGCCTCACAGAAGGCACAAATGCAAAGCACTCCCTTGCTATATGCCCTCGTTGACGGCAGCGGAAGCAGCGCACTCCATTGAGGTCCCTTTCCCGAGACGGAGCAGCTTCGAGCTGCAGGGGTCGGTTCGCCACGTGATTAAAGGAACCGCTCTGACGACCGTCACCACCGTAGATGCGCTGGGTCAGATTTCATCCCTGCTCGCGCGCGTCGAGTTGCGATGTAGCACCGCTGCACGCCTCCCGTACGTGTAGGGATCTAAAGCTCGATCGCTCATCTCCTACGTGCGCCCACCTATAGCGGTAGCCACAAAGGCAGCTCTGGCGGGCTGTTGCCGCTGGGGAAGGGTCATGGCCCCTCCCCATGCACAGCGCGGTTCAAGGGCCTCGATGGCTGGCGGTAGCGGGCGATAGGCACGTGCGGCGAGAATGTCGCCTTGGATGCGCTTTGCCTCGACGGCCAATTCCTCCAAATCACGGAAGCGACTGCCGCGCAGGTACGCCGAAAAAGTCGGGTGTGCCCGCCTGACCACCCGTTCGACGCACTCCTCGTTCGAGGCTCTGAGCTCAGCGATAGAAAAAAGGTCTTTTATCGTGCGTACGTACTCCTGAAGCGACTCATCAGGAGCTTGTGTGCGGAGCTCGAGCTCGCGCCGCATCCTACTCTCGTAGTCGGCGAGTGAGAATTCGCGCAGGAAGGCCGCGCAGAACTCATCGAGGGTTGCTGCTCGGTGGCCGGAAAGCCGACGCCATCTGGCCGCCGTGTCAGTCAGTGCAGCCTGGACGACGCGTCCGAGCCCTTCCTGGTCGTTTAGACCCATGGCTCTCTGATAACGTGTGAGGGAGTCCAGGTAATCTCTTGCACTTTGCAGATCACCATAACCGCTGTAGGTCGGAACGGCCAACATGACAGCAGGATGAGGGCGTTTCGGAACGGCCGAAAGCGTTTGGACTGCTTCCGTGAGTGCCTGAATCATTTGGGCGGCATTTTGCAGCAGCGTCTATGCGCCCGCTTCAAAGGAAGCTGTCGGTGCATTAGCGGCGCGTGCGAGCGATGGGGAACTGTCTCCGAGCTCGATAAGCGGCGGGGTTTCAAAATGGATACCGGCCGTCGCAACATTGGGGAGCGCCTGTTGTTCACAGCTGACTCTTGGGGCAGCTTCACGTGAAATTGCTAGGCTGCTTGCGGCTAGTGGTACAGGCGGGTGCTCGAAATGAGCTTGGCTGCTAGGTTTCATATCAGCCAGCGGAGAAAATTCAGCAATGGCTGAGGCCGCTGTGCCAATCTGCGCCCTGGAAGCTCCACTGAGAGCCGTTTCGGAGCGCTGTGACATGGAACTGCCATGCATTCCAAAGGGAGCAGTAGCAATCCAATTCGCCCACGTGCATTGTTCGGGTTGGGATATGGCCCCGGACCCAAAACACGCTACCTCTCCAGTGGGAGCTGTTACGTAGCGCCTCGTGTGATCCTGACTGGGGCTTGTGACATGTGAGGGTGCGCGATTGTGATGCTCAAGGGGGGCACTGGCCCTGTTCTTGAGCAAAGCGGTATCTGCTAAAAGCGTGAGCGGACAGAACTTACGCGGAGCAGACATAACACGGGTAAACACGGCGAGCGTGATTCGCAAAGGCGGGCTGACTCGGCTAAGACTAATCAAAGGCTTAATAAGCCTTTGATACCGTGTTGGGCGCCAGTATGGTGACCCCGCTACTAACTGCAGCGAATGATCACCGCGGGTTCACGCTTAGCGAGCCAAAGGGCCGCGACTCCGCCACCTACTCCCGTGTAGCGCACCGCTCCGCGCGCACTCAACTAATAAGGCGTTTAGCGTGGTGCGGCGAAACAGACAGTGTTCCAATACAAAAATACACAACACTTTATTGCCCTTGGCGGCCCCTGAACAACAGTACAACGTCCGCTCCCAGGGCGCGGGGAGCAAAGGCACCCGCACGCGGACGTTCACAATAAGGGGAAACCGCGGGCACGTCGCAGCTGGCAATGGCGAGCTTTGACACGCAGGTCCGGAAAAGGTCCGTCGCGGCTATGCTGCGCACTCTCACAATGGCCACTGGGCCTGGTCGCGAGTGTTAGGGCAAACCTCGTACGCGTAGGCCTACGGCAAGTGCGGCTCGGTGTGGTACGACCACTTCAAGCACTAGGCACCGCTGGGGGCTTAGCGTACGGTACCAAAGCTAGCACTCAAGTAAACACGCCTGCCGAGGTGCCAGAGGCCACCCCAGGCAGGCTACAGTCCGGCGATTCCCAAAGGGGACGCGGACGAAGGAAAACACGTGCTTACCCGGCACCGACCACGGACGAGAGAGAGCTCCTGCGACGCGCATGGAACACGTGCCGCGCACGCACGTGGCGCCATGTATCGTCACGCGCCGTTCCCAGAGTAGAAAAAGCAGGAGAGTGTGGCGGAATGCCCGCGAAATGGTCGCGGGCGCGCCTCAGATCCCCACAAAGTAAGAACTAATGATTGAAAATGTTTGTGAAGCGGCAAGCCTGTTACTTGTGCTTTCTAGATAACACTATTCCACTAAGATGTATTGCTGCAATAGTGTTAGAATGCATGCTCGAAGAAACACCCATATGCATAAAAATTAGAAAGAAATCACAGTTTTTTTAAATACAAAACTTTGTTAGGTTGGGTTTGGTGCCAGGTAAACTTTGTTTCTTCAGGTTGATAAAAACATTGATTCGTATGGGTAGCTATTGAGGAATAGAAATTTCTTCATTAGATATGGAACTTTGTAAAACAGAGTTTCATTAGATCCAAATTTCAACTGTATTTCACATCAATCGGGAGAGAGAAGAGTTGCACAGCATTTGGGAAGCTGTTCGGGTTTCTCAAGGCCAGAAGTTTTAAGAACTCTCTTTTGTCAAAAGAAAAGCTTTGGTTTCCATAGTATTTATCAAAAGGCTCATTTATGTCTCACAATAACTTTCTACTAACTGCTAAGCTTTTTGAAAGGTACTTCTACCACCACTACCTCATACACTGCCATGCAACATAGGTGTAACATACCTAGGATCACCAAAGTACCCTGGCTGGCAAGACTCGCAATGTTTCCCACGGGTGTTGTGCAGGCAGTAGCAGTCCCCTGTTGTTGAGTTGCACATGCCTCGTGTGGAATCACCATGTTCATTGCAGGCGCACTTTCGGCAGCCAAAAGGACTGGTAGCATTCCCGAAGCTCCCTTTCCTGGTTGGTGGGCAAAAAAGAAGAAGGCACATGTGAGCTGTTGGAAACTTGATATTTGAGACTTAATGTGTCCACTGAAGTAAGTAAAGTTTTATCACAAAAAGATTTAGTATGGTGATGTTATGGAGCACCATAGGTGATAGTAGTTGAGATGAAGGCTGGAGTGAATGCCAAAAGCTTAGATTTTCATACAATAATACCTAGAGGGGAACCTGGTGCTAGCGCCTGCGTGGGCTCCTTCAGCAGCGCTTGTACCCTCGCGGGAATTATAGGAAGTACAGGCTTTGGATCTGCTTCGGATGGATTACCTTCTTGAGATTCGCGACGCTTGTTTGCCAAGTGTAAGACAACATGCTATGTAATTATATCTAACTGAAACTTGCTTCATTATTTTCTACGTACATTTTGTTGCAAAAAGTTTTTTGCGACCATGAGGTAAAAGTCAAACCTGGACAAACTTAACCACCAGGGTATGCATTACTCAGCCATTGCTTTCCAGATTTGGAATCAAGATATAATTAATTCTTTTTTACAGCATTTGAAAACAAAACATTATTATCTTGCCCTCGAAAGTATTCATTATCAATTTATGAAAATAATAGTACAGTATTAAGTGACAAACACTTAACGTTTAGCCTGCTGCGATACCAGGTGTGTTCGTTCAAGTTGTCTGCCCGCAACGCACCTCTCATTTTGTTGCGAAGTCAAGTCAGAGGAGCGTGACAGTGCGTCTACTTTGCTTCACCGTTGTTTAGCAGTCGATTTAAACAAGTTTTGCCCTGAAGCAATTATGAAAAAAACGTGAACTCGATGCAATATCCCGCACTGGCATGGAACGCTACATCTATGCACAGCGGTGAGTGGACAACGCTTCGCTTAAACTGTCAAATACAACCTGTAAAGCTCCAACGTCACAGCAAATATCATACCTAGTGGTCTTCACCCTCTTTGAAGAACAAAAGCACTGCTTCTGTGCTTTGCACCGCACCCCACTACCTACGCTGCGCGAAGAACCAAACTAAATCTGTAGAAAAAGATTAGTAGAATGTTTGCAAGCTAACGTAATCCAATCCAAAGCCTGTACTTCCCATAATTCTCATGGAGGTACACGATCGCAGCGCCAGATTCCTCTCTAGTTATTTTTGTATGAAACTCTAGGCCAAAGGTCAGTTCAAACTACACTAACTTTATATGTGGAACTCGTGGGAACAAAACTGGTGTACAAAACACTGTAGCATGCTCAGACATGCCTCAATATAATAATGCCATATTTATAGAAAAAAAGCTAGTTTAATCTCTAAAGTATAATCCTCTCAAGTTTCTGGAATAATTCAGTACCCCATTAATAAGCATGCTGAAGTACAGCAAACGAAGAAAAGTAGAGTAGTGTGACTGCTCGCCAAAAGAGCAGAGAAGAAATCTAAGGTCTGCGAAAGATTTTGTCTTTCTCACACGTAGAGTGCACAATGACAGGAGAGTGCATGATGATAGTTCTGAGGATCATAGCGAAACGATGACAAAAAATTATGGCAGAATATGCAAGTGATCCGGCTTTCTATGATGCATGCATGCAGTGGTCTGCTGCTGAGCGAAAACCGGCACTGCTTCATAGGAGTGCAGTACTTGTTGCTGCAAGAAGCTGATTATTCATAGCTGGTCGTCTGCAGTGCTTTGCCAATTGTGCTCCTACAGTGCACCTTGCTGTCTCATACGTATGTATGTATTTGACATGAGAGTGTAGATTGAGATTCCCTTATGTCGGCATTGCTCTTAAGTGTGCGCTGGTGTGCACCATGAATCAATAATTGATTGATTGATTGATTGATATCTGGGGTTTAACGTCCCAAAACCACTATATGATTATGAGAGACGCCGTAGTGGAGGGCTCCGGAAATTTAGACCACCTGGGGTTCTTTAACGTGCACCCAAATCTGAGCACACGGGCCTACAACATTTCCGCCTCCATCGGAAATGCAGCCGCCGCAGCCGGGATTCGAACCCGCGCCCTGCGGGTCAGCAGCCGAGTACCTTAGCCACTAGACCACCGCGGCGGGGCCTGTGCACCATGAATCAACTGCAAGGCACTTGTGATGATGCGGATTGTGGCGCGAGGCCGTGACACCACAAGGAGGCAGTTGGTGGTGACGATCGTTGTGTCGCCTCAAGGACGATGGTGATGGTGAGTGTGGGGAAGAAAGAACGCAAACCGGGATGAAGTAGGAAGGCTCGAGCGAACTGGAGAACGAGCGGCATGAGAGTGGGCAGACGTCTGGAAAGGCAGTTTGTGGCGTTCGTGTGCTCGTGTGTCAGTGTCCGAGGTTCAGCTACCGAGCAAACAGGGCCCAAGATCCCATTCGTTCCTCAGTGCATCAGCCGCCTGGTGCGAATGTTCCAGCAGCACCGAGATTCTATTCATAACTCCTTCGTGTGCCAGTATCCTGGTGCGAGTGTTCCTGAGAGACTGGGACTCATGTTGTCAAGGAGCCTCAGCTGAAAGCGGCTGGCTAACCATGTCATGAGTAAGAGGCCATGAGGCAAGTGCCAGGCGCTGTAATGCAGCGTCCGTGCGCGAGATCCCCGATGGTGCGCATGCGCGCCACGTTTATGTAGAGATTAGATAAGAAGGCTGATGACACGTGATTCGAGCTGTGATGAAAAATCACAGACCATGAGCTGTCGCTGTGCCTTGGGGCTTCAAACTGCAAAGATCAGGAAGGTCAGCGTCGCTACCGCGACGGCAGCAGCAGAGCTTCTCGGTTCTGAGGATGTCGGCAAAGAAGCTTGATGAGTGGCTGTCGATCTCTGAAGACTTGAGAGAGGCTACCCGAACTTGTCACAACCTTTCACCGCAGTTCTAGGTGGGCAAACAGCTCTTCTGCTTTGAGCCAGAACAGATGCGGTCCGTACCACAGTCAGGACGCCGTTGACGAGTTAGGCGTAGCCTAACTGAGTCAGAGAAGATGACGAAGACCAAAACCTACCGGCAATGAGGTCGAGCGGCTCTTTCGGGGAAAGAGGATGACGACTGTAGGAACTTAGGGAGGACGTCGACAACAGCATCGATGAACCGTCGACACGGCAAGAGCACCGAGTCGACGTGGCAACGTAATGTGAACTGTAGAAACATTTTCTTAGCGAGATGCCATCTTGGATAGATGTAGAATAGGGCTAGAGTTGGCTCTAACGCATATTGTAGTTAGTTTTCGTTTCTGTCTGTAGCAGACTGGTGTATATATAGGTTGCTTTATTTAGTTATTTTTGGGTACTTAACGCGAATTCAGTGTATTAATGTGGTCCGTGCTTTGTATAAAGTGTGTTTGTTTTGCCATGCCCAACTGCCATCCCTCTCAATCCAGTCCCTTGCCAGCGCTTCCAAGATTAATCGTGACATTAATGACAAACAACTAGTCGGGTCCAGCAGCAACCAGGGAATCAACCAGCTGCTGTGACTCCCTGCACGTGACGATGAGTGCCACGGTGACCACGGCGACAGCCTCTTGAAGGAGGTGATCGCATAAGTGCTAGGCACATAACCAATTAGGTGGACAGTTGCCGAACATTATTTTGTCCATCTAAATATTGTGTAGCTTGTGTTGAACATAAGGTCGTCTATGTTGCATGATAATGACCCCGACTGCAGTGTCGTTTTCTGAACAGATCCTGGGCCCAAACCCAAACGCATTTTCCATTACAGCACTGTAAGGGTACTTCTGAGCGAAGCACTGAAGAAAAATGCACATAGGTTTGGGTGGAAACCTTATTTCGTTAGTAATATTGTAGGCATTTAATCATACAAAAAAACTGCGCAATAGATAGTTTGGCCCAGGGAATGAAGAAAAACATTCTTTATGGATAACCTGCAATTTAAAGTCGAGAGATAATAGAGGTGTGCCAGTTTAATATCTAAGCTAAAAAAACGCCAGACCTGTGCGGAACGCGCCGCACAGTCACAGCGAAAGCTAGAAGAGTGGCTTTTCAGAGCCTTTTCTTAACACTCTTTGGGCAACTGCTACAAGCACACTGTTGGGTACCTACTATGCTATAAATAATAATAATTTTTGTGCACTGGGCCAGCATTTGCTATGCTATCCTTCCATCATTCTTTGGAAAAGCGTGGCATCCACTACACAATTGTTAAGAATTTTGTGCAATTTTTTATGCAGTGGCTGACGACGATGAAGAATTATGCCTGAAGTGGGTATATGCCACAGTAATAGGTGATCAAGAACAAGTTTTCTTACGCGTTTGAGCATTGGACGACTCACTTGTTATGCCATTCGCATTGTATGATGCCTGGCTGTTCCTTTGATGTTTTAAAACGCTTTATTACTCATATTAACGCTATTCCTTTCGGAACATGAAGCCTGCCAAAGGCCAGTTTAGAAACGAGTTTCAAGCACTGGCGTGGTTCAGTGGTAGAATACTGTGCTGGCACGCAGCGAACCTAAGTTCGAATCCCATTGTCTCACTGGTAATTTTCATTTACTGAGTTTTTTTTTTTTCTTTCGGTACTGGTTACGGACACCGGCAGCGGTGGTAGCAGACAACTACAGCACCGCACGTGACCCGTGTTCTGATCTCATAACATCTTTCGCGCTAAAATGTACACAGAAGGCTGAATGTCACCACATCAGATAAAGTGCGAGAAGGAGAACAAAGAGAAAAAATTAAAGATGAGACAGAAGAATCAAGAATACTGTTGCTAGTGACAGCCTTATAAAATAATACAAGAGCTATACAATGCCGCTCCGTAACTGGGCATGCTCGAAGTCTCAAAACTGGCATAGCGAGTCAAGCCAATTCAGCATGAAATATGATCAGTGGCACAAGAATAAGCTGTGCCATGCATTTGTATATCATAACACTACCATAGTTACTTGAAACTAGGTCTAGAACAAATAGAGGCTGACTCCCTGAATATTGTGCTCTTAGATGAATGGATGGATCGAAATAACTTTAACGAGAGGTCCTGCATGTTTTATATACCTGGATTAAGATCT